AAAGTTAAAGCTCTGCTGCGCTCATATGACCTTAGCAGTTGCGAGCGCCGTAAAACCTTATACTATACATACATACCCAAATGCGCTGCGCGATTGATGGATCAAGTTTGAATCAAAGTTGGCAGGCTACGTTCATGGCGCCCTGAATGTAGTATGCAGGCTACATTCATGACGCCCAGAAACACAGAGACAGATAGTGACAGACTGTGGACAAAGTGAGAGAGAGGTGTGTGAGTATGTTGGCAAGGAGGAGGGGGGTGGGGGGAATTATATCATCATGTGAGAGAGAGTTGCAGACCCATGTTATTCAGTATTGGACAGGGTACCCAGAATGCAGAGGGCAAGGTGAAAAGAAAAGAAACTGAGACCCATTATGTGCATATAATCTATAACAAAAACAACCTTCCAGCTTTAAAAAATTGGTGTCAAACTTCGAATTGTCGACATATAATTCTGATTATGTTGTCAATGACTCAGACTCAGATGTTGAAAATATTTTCAACTGTGTGATGAAAATGATAGCAAAACCATACTTTTTACTTCAAGACTTACTATTCCCAACAGTTTTTCCAAATTTTGTTTTTCAATTTTAGCTTACTTGTCTTTCATAGAATGTCTCACAGGCGGTCCGATGATTTGAACCTGAGCTTGACAGGGTCTCAGATTTCTGCAATATCTTCTCGACCAGCGTCTGGCCGTCCCAACTCCGCTCAACAAACTAAACGAGCAAACTCTCTTGTTGATGTAAGACAAAAAAATGTGAGTAAAAATTTGTATGTATGATTCATTTGTGTGAAATGTATGCTTTTTTTGTGTGTGGGTAGTTGGTTTTTTGGTGTAAAGAATGTGAAAAGGGCTCTGATTTTTCTCTACAGACAAAAGGGTTTGTCTTGCACTTTTGTGTCTAGTGATGATTAGATCAATACTTAGATCAATGTGTGTCAGAGAATGCTTGTTGCTGTTACTTGTGTCTCTTTAAGTGCTGAATCTTTAGTCTATTGCGACTGTCTTTCTTTTTCATTTGACATTTTTTAACTGTAAATATCTCAACAGATTTAAGGCATAAGATCCTTAGTTAATTAAATGCTGTTAAAATCAGAGCTATGCTTGAGCTGAATACAGTTAAAAGCAGAGTTGTGATTTTAATTTATTTAAAATATCCATCCACTGTGATCAACAGAATGGAAATAAGGTGGGAGTATCCCTTAAATTGTCTGTATTTTATTTCATGTTTTTCAGACTTCAAGCAAAAAAGTTGAAAATGCAAAATCCTCAGATGCAGGCCGAAAAGTGGCTCCTCCCAAAGCAGGTATGTCCGATTTTATGTCAGTTTATGTCAATGAATATGGTTTGTTTGTGGAATTTGTGGGCACGAATCATCTGATGTTGATGATTGGCGGGGGCACTGGTGTGATTTGCTCTTTCTTTCCTGTTAAAGACCTATCGTCCTTATCTCTCATCTTTCTGTTTGTGTATGTTACTGTCTTATAACACCTCTAATTTTTGGCACTTTGATCTAACTGTATTCCAAGTGCTGTAAAACTCTTACTAAAACGTAAACTAAACGAATTACCTTACACTGCACCATTCTCGACATACTATCTGATTTTGAAAGCTGGTTTTTTAAGGAAAATAGTTAAATAAGACTGGTTTGCATAAAACTGATTTTAATGGGTCATGGTAAAAATTTGTTTTACGTGTCTCTTAAAATAGGACCTGAATGCTCGTCAAGTTTTGTTTTTATAATGAAACTGATGAATCGAGAAATAAATAGATATTTCTGAGCCATAAACTAGAGTCTCCGAATGGAGAGTTTATGATGCAAGGCAGTGAAAGCCGAAAGGAAGCTGCTGGGCAGAAGCCTCCGCCATTATCCAAGTCCAAGTCTCTTCGGATCGGCTCGTGGAACGTTAGGACCCTTTATGAGGCTGGAAAAACTGCACAAGTTCTCCAAGAGATGCACCGATACCAACTACACATACTGGGAATCACTTGAACTAGTCTTGACAGAAACGAATGAAAGAGGGGAGCTTTTCATTTATTCATGTAATGTTAGTGATGGACCACACAGGGAAGGAGTAGGGATGATCATATCCAAAACAGCTCAAAAGACATTCAGGGGCTGGGAAGCGCATGGTTCAAGGATCCATCATGGCCTCGTTTGGAACTAAGAAAGAACTAAAGGTAAGTGATGGTAGGAAGAAGGTCATAAACATGAACATCATACAAGTGTATGCTCCAACCTATGATGCAGATGTGGAGAATAAAGATGACTTCTACAACCGCCTGCAGAGTGTCATCGACAAACTTCCAGGTAAGGACTTCAACATTGTCATGGGAGATCTAAATGCAAAGGTAGGTTCGGACAATAGTCAGTATGGGGAAATCATGGGCAGACACGGATTAGGAGAGGCAAATGACAACGGAGAAAAGTTCCAAAACTTCTGTATATTCAACAACTTGGTCATTGGAGGTACAATCGTCCCACATAAAAGGATTCACAAGGCCACTTGGGTCGCCCCGGACGGGACAACGGAAAACCAGATTGACCCTTTTTGCATCTCCCGAAAGTTTAGACGCTCACTGGAGGACGTCCGAGTCTTACGAGGAGCAGACGTCACGTCAGACCACCATTTGATCCTTGGAAAGATGGAACTGAAACTGAGAAGATATGCACAAGTCACTACTGGAATTCGTCTAAAGTATTAAGTGAGCCTTCAGAAAGACCCAGTAAAGAAGAATGAGTTCAAGTTGGAACTGAAGAACAGATTTCAAGCCCTTCAAGATCTGGATGAATGTGAAGTCAACAAACGCTGGGACAAGATAAGAGAGGCAGTAAATGCAACTTGCCAGAGCACCTTAGGACCCAAAGACAACACCAGGAATGAATTGATTTCACAGGACTCTCTAGACAAATTCAAAAGAAGAAGAGAGCTGAAGGCCCAAGTCAACAACAGCCGTACCCGAACTGAGAAACTCGCTGCACAACAGGAGTACACCGAAGTAAACCGGGAGGTAGAGAATTCCATCAAGAAGGACAAGAATACCTACCTGAATGGCCTGGCCGCAAAGGCAGAGAAAGCCGCAACAGACGGGCACTTGCAGATTGTACACCAGACAACAAAAACTCTGTCAGGTAGGTTCAGCAAGCCCACTCTACCAGTGAAAGACAAAGAGGGAAAGACTATCTTCTACCCAGAGGGGCAACTTAACCGATGGAGAGAACACTTTGATCAACTCTTGAACAGACCACATCCTGAAAACCAACCAGAAATTCTTCTAGCCAGATATGACCTCCCAATAGTTACGGAACCACCTTCAAGAGAGGAAATTGCAGCTGCTATAAAAACACTGAAGTCCCACAAGGCAGCTGGTCCCTACCATATACCACTGGAAGCTCTTAAGGCAGATAAAGATACGTTAGTGGAAATTCTCTATGCTCTATTTGAAAAGGTTTGGCAAAAGGAGGAAATACCATCAGACTGGAAGGAAGGACACCTAATCAAGCTGCCAAAGAAGGGAGACCTCAGCAATTGTAACTACCACAGAGACATTACACTCCTGTCCATACCTGGGAAAGTCATCAACAGGATACTCCTGGAGAGAATCAAGCTGGCAACAGACGAGAAGCTCCGAGGAAACCAGGCAGGATTCCGCAAAAAACGATCATGTGTGGACCAGATCGCTGCTCTGCGCATCTTTGTTGAGCAATCGCTTGTATGGAATTCCCCACTCGTGGTCAACTTCATTGATTATGAAAAGTTGTTTGACAGTGTGGACAGGGAAACTCTGTGGAAACTCATTCGGCATTTTGGAATACCTGACAAATTCATCAAGCTTGTGAAGGCCACCTATGATGGAACAAACTGCCAAGTCTTCCTTGAAGGACAACTCTCAGAACCATTCCAGGTACAGACAGGAGTGCGACAAGGATGCTTGCTCTCACCTTTTCTGTTCATACTGGCAATTGACTGGGTCATGAAGGAAGCCACCACAGGCAAGCGTAATGGAATACAGTGGATCCCTTGGCAGCAGCTGGACGACTTGGATTTTGCCGATGACCTTGCACTGCTCTCTCACACACATGCTCAGATGCAAGAAAAGACCAAGGAACTCAACAGCTTATCAAGGAGTGTTGGCCTGCGTATACATCCAGGCAAGTCGAAAGTAGTGAAGCTAGGAAAAGTTTCAAGCCCTGCTGTCACAGAGGAAGACACTCCCCTGGAAGAAGTGGACTCCTTTACCTACCTTGGAAGTGTCATTGATGGTAAAGGCAGGTGGAACCGAGGCAAATGTTAAAGCAAGAACCGCCAAGGCAAGGTCAGCATTCAATCAATTATCAAAAGTCTGGAAAGCAAGCAAACATGTCACTGCGCACCAAGATTCGACTCTTTAACTCCAACGTCAAGTCTGTGCTCCTTTACGGCTGCGAAACTTGGAAGACAACAAAGACAGTACTGAATAAAGTCCAGACTTTCATCAATAGATGTATGAGGAGTATTCTAAGAATTAAGTGGCAGGATAGAATAAGAAATGAAGAGCTGTGGGAAAGGACAGGACAAAAGGATATAGAAGTAGAAATAGGACTAAGAAAGTGGCAATGGATGGAACACACCTTAAGAAAGCCCAGCGGAAACATCACAAAACAGTCACTGCAGTGGAACCCACAAGGAGCACAAGGCAGGTGTAGGCCACGGGAAACATGGAGGGGATGCGTGGAAAGGGACATGAGAGAGATGAAGCTCACTTGGAATGAGCTTGGAAGGATGGCTCAGGACTGAGATAAATGGAAGGAGATTGTAGGTGGCCTATACCCTGCCAGGGGTGAAAGGCATTGATGATGAATGCCTTTTAAGGAATGCTGTATATGTGTGTGAAGATTAAAGCTAATCAATAGCCTACCTGTTTGTATGAGGTGACTTTTTTATACATTTATGGACATATTGTTTCTGATTTTTCATCTTTATTTTTCAATTGCAGACAACAGTGCACCTGCCAGTCATCGGAGTACTGCGAGTTCAAGAGTCAGTGTAACAAGTGGAAGACGACTAGCAAATGGCGTGGCATCAGGGCGTAAGATGGAGTAAGTTTGTTTCGTTGGTTGTTTCTAGAGGCCTTTGAGGAAGATTGGGACAATATTGTTTTGCACCAGACTAGATGATGCCCATTTATTTTTCTCTATTATTTCACCTGTTCTATGACAGTTTTGTTATCTGAAGAGTTTTTCTACATTGTTGCTGTGGTCTATTTAGCTGTTTATTGGGCAATCTGGCGTGTTGGTCAATAACAGGAAGTTAAGCCTAGCATATTGTATTGTTTGACACAAATGTGTAAAGCAGAACGGGTGAGTGAGTAAGTGTGAGACGAGTGCAGTCTCGATTACAGCAGGGTAGAGGGAAGAGCTGTATCGAGGCAGAGGAGAGGGAAGAGCTGTATCGGGGCAGAGCAGGCCTGCAGAGATTTTGGCGTGAGGAAAGGGGGAATGGCTGTTTAGAGACTCCTTCTATTTCTGTGCTTGTGTTGCGAGATTCCAACGCATCTGGGCCCCACCGCAGAGGAAAGGATCACACGATCTAGAAAGAGAGACAGGTTTGGCTAACCCTTGTAACTGTAAACACATCTCTGCAGGCAACCAAAATATTAGTGTTGAATATTCTTTCATGTACAAGTAACTACAGTTGCCTACCAGACTTTTTAATTTGTAAGGAAATAAGCTAAAAAAGTAACTTGTGACATGCGTTTGAAATATAATTCTATAATGTTCTTGCTCTACATTTTTTAAATGGCTGAGTATTTGGTTTGAATGTCTTGTAAGAGCATTGAAAAGGGAGATCAGAGAGGTTGTGTTCATGAATCCATGAAGGAAGTATACTTTATTTATATTTGTTAATATGTTAATTTTGCTGTTTTACTTCAAATTAGTAATATTGTAACACTTTTTTTTGTCCTTTTGCACTTGCTTGAGTTTTGTTGCCCTGCAAGATTTCCATTGGTCATTCAACAGGGAAGAGGATTTCCTGGCATTTTTTGAGAATGCAAATCCTCCCAAGATTAAAAAACCCTCCTCCTCTGCCAGTGCTCCAACACATTCCAAGAAACCTTCTACAAATGCTGTAAAAGTGTTGTGGAAGGGCACGGTTAGTAGTCATAGTATTTGTCCTAGAATTTGTGCCATGGATATGTGTTTTGCAAAACATCGGCAGTACAATTGTAAATAGATGAGATTAAAAGATTTTTTCTTTTACAAATGCACACGTTTCAGGCCTTATGCTTTGAAAGGGTGTAATGTCTGCATGGTTATGTGTCATCTAGTTGTACTCTGGTCATTCAGCTTCAAGAAAGTTGTTCTGCAATACAATAGTTTAACAGAGATTAGTGTGAATATAGTTACATCATACAGTCGAACCTGTGTAAAATGGCCACCCATTGTCAAGGAGAAAAGTGTCCACATTAGACAGGTGGCCGTCTTAGGCAGGACTGATCATGATGAAGAAAACTAACCATTCTTTCTGAGGTCCCAACAGAAGGTAGCCGCATTGTTGTTTTTGTTGTGTTGTTGTTGTTGTTTTCGCTGGGTTTTCTTTTCTTTCTTTTATTTTGTTGCTGCTTTTGTGCAAGGGTGAGTCAGGTGACAATAAAACGAAATGTGTTAGGCAAGGAGGACCAAGTGCTATGGTAAACAAACACATGGGTCGCCACCACTCGGAGAACGAGCGATGCTTCTGTCACACATTCATGTTGTCGTCCATTGTTTCTTTGTAACAGACTGGGTAAGCAGTGACCACTCATCTCACTTACTATTTGTGTACGGGTTCTGGGTGGGGCTTATGGGTTATGAGGGATCACACGCTTACCTCACCAGCAGCTGAAAATTTGTTACCTATTGGTCAACAGTGGGAGGGACCTACGCAATATGATCGGTTGGAGGGACTACCTAACAACAACGACAGGTGGTTAGATTGTGACGGTTCGCCCACAACGCCAAGGGCCAATGCATGATTTATGACAAAACGTAATGGCGTCACTAAGGTGGCCGTCTAAGACAGGTGTTATTGTTTGGTGTGATAGGGGTTGTGTGTTAAAATATGGTGGCAGCGGCCGCGTTGGACAGGTGCCCGTTTTACACTGTTAATTTATATAGAAAAAATGCAAGGGGGGGAATTGAAAGTGGCCGTTTGTACAGGTGGCCTTCTTAAAGAGGTGGCCGTCAGGGCAGGTTCGACTGTATATGGATAGCCATGTCTTCAATATTTCACTTTTCTTTCATCCAAAATCAGTTACAAACTTTGCAAGTTCATTTTGTGCTTTTGCTGCAAATATATCTGCTCTGTGGTAGATAGTAACGATATCAGAAACGAAAGACTCACAATAATTGTGCTGGAATATAATCATCTTATGTCTTGTTACACACACCATCAAAAATATATTAAGCAAATCTGGTGGAGAGCAACACATGCCCCCCCCCCCCCATGCCATTAGTGTTGCTTCAAAATTTGGAGCACTAGAAAAGTCTCAGCCATAAGGTAGGCTGCAGTCTCATACATTCCTTTCTAGTACTCAAGTGCATGTGCCAATAACCTTTTATAATAATAATAATAATATATAACATTTATATAGCGCATTTAAAAAAAAGTAGCTCAATGCGCTTTACATTGGAATACCCATTTTCAAAACCTTTTTTACTACCTCCTTTTTTCTCATGCAATATATGTTTATGCACCCACACACACACACACACACAAACACACACACACACACACACACACACTCACACACACAGACTATTTTCATCCAGACGTAGGCACAGAACAACTATAATAAAAAAAATAATGTTAAAAACCTATTTCATTGGAACAATTTCAGGATACTAAAACAAAGAACCGTAAACCTGCCTGGGCTAGCAAACCTGGACAAGAGACAGGTTCAGCTCGATCAGACACACCTCATAACATCTTCAGACCTGAATCTGCTCGTAGTAGCGATGATGATGTAGACAGCCAGGCGAGGCTTATGGAAGACTTTGACAACTCTCTGTCTCAGTCCATCAACAAGCTGCACAGTCTCCAGACCCAACTGTCTGGGGTGAACAGAGAGAACAGAGAGAGCGCTGTCAATGCAGAGGTGCCTTCTGCAGTCAACTCACATAGATCTGTTTCAACAGTGGATGGAGACGGTTTACATGGTGGGGGAGCTGTGGGTGGTTCTCGGGTAGGTTCTATTGATGACTTCATACAAGGCATCATAGACAACACGCCCACACCCACGCCCTCACACTGGGCTAGTGCTCGACAAGATATAACTTCTCCAACTTCAACTGTAACGGATCGATCTCCCAGAGGAGAAGATGATCAGAAGTCTGTTGCGAACAACATGTCCACTCGAGGACAGAGCAATCAGAAGGCAAAAGCCTCACTCTCCACGATGGAGAATTCATATCAGAACATCAAGCACAAGACTCCGGTGAACCAGGTGAAATCCTCTGCCTCTGGTTCCTTGAGTAGTCCGGCTGATAGGAAGAGCACATGGTCAAATGGGAGTGGTCAGAACAAAAAACCTCTTTCATCTACGACTGGCGCCAGCGACAAGCTGTCGGAGCAGAAAGTGCTGGCAGACTGCATGAACAAGCTGACCAGTTCAGCTATACAAATCCAGAGGTGGTACCGTCGACATCGTAAGCGAAGAATGGTCGGAGAGGCTGCAATGAGGAGACTGTTGGCCCAGAAGAAAGAGGTACAGTTGTTTGTTAAAGATATTTCATTTACTAAAAAGACTACATGACTGGGGAGTGCCATTAGAGTTCCTACTTCTTTTCAATCTTGAGAGGGCAGTTAATAGTTAATTGAAGGGTGCTAGGGGTAGGGCCTTTTGTTCTTTCCCTCTGGTGTTTCTATATATGACAGTCTTACTTTTCCCCCTCACTCTAGATGATGGTAATTGTGTCCACAAACTCACTTTTAAGATTTAGATTTTAAAAAGCAGTCTTCTTGGACTTTGAACTGAGTCAATAATTGCTGGAAAAATTTTTTTCTTAGCTGTCGTCAGAAGCATAAAGTGGAGCATATTCAGATGTTTTCTCAGGCATACCATGTTTATGTGTGTGCATGTGTGTGTGTGTGTGTATGTGTGACGTGTGTGTGTGTGTGCCTGCCTGCCTGCCTGCCTGCATGTGTGTGAGAGAGAGAGAGAGAGGGATGTAGGGAGGGAGGGAGAGTGGGAGAGGGAGGGCGAGAGGGAGAGAGAGAGGGAGGGCGAGAGGGAGAGAGAGAGGGAGGGAGAGAGAGGAGAGAGAGAGAGAGAGAGAGAGAGAGAGAGAGAGAGAGAGAGAGAGAGAGAGAGAGAGAGAGAGAGAGAGAGAATGCGTACACACTGAAATACATAAACCATATGTAACATTTAAATGAATACTGAAAAAGAAAATGTATGCCACCAGGAGCATGAAACCCGACAAGTCCAGGAGTTATCCCAGTCAGTCACTGCTGCAGAGCTTCAGGAGAAGAAGATGGAGGAAAGGAGGAGACTGAGGGAGGAGAAGGCTAGAGAGGCACGGCAGCAGGCTATCAAGGTACCCTTTGTTTGCTTTTTTCATTTCTTTGGAATCAAATTTTGTCGAGTTGCTGTGGACAATGAGTGATTCATAAATCAACTAGACTTCAGTGTTGATACGCAAATAAAGATGTTTATTTATGGAATTTGAACGTGTGACTGAGTTAACGGTAGAGATCGTAAATAACTGTCATTTCATTTATTTTGATTACTTAGTTAAAAATTTGTGTGCATTAACAAACAAGTGTTTGAAGGTATACCTTTTGCTTTTTTACACCATGTTATCTTTTATTTCTAGAGTAGAAGAATTGCCCTGTTGTAAAGTGCAGTTTCCTTTCGATGTGATCATTTGATTATTGCCGCTTATGAGTCCTATTTCTCACAAATTATATTCCTTTTGTACAGCACAACACAGCTATCTATTTTCCATGTTGTATTTCTTTAAACTAACACCTCTTAATCACCCTTACTGTGATTATTACCATTCAATTCTAAATCACAAATTAAACATATACTGTTGTGAGTGATTGAGGAGCTGTGCTAGGTTCTATTTGTTAACTAACCTGTGTTGTTTATGTTTGTATATCTGTCTTGCTCTGTTTGTTGCAGCTTCACAAAACGGTTATTTCTTGTCCACTTTAAAGTTAAAGCTCTGCTGCGCTCATATGACCTTATGCTGTTGCAACACCGAAAAAAAACCTCTACTAAAAGCTCTGCTATTATTTTCTTCTTCACCACTTCCTCTTTTCCTCTTTGTTTTGAAATTTTGTCTTCCCTGTTGTTTTGAAAAGACGAAGATTTTTAGAAATGGAGTTCTTTGAGAAGCCTACTGAAAGGTTGTCTTAATGTCTGTGAAAAGATGTAAGTAGTTTAAAAGACATATAGTTATGGACTCGTGTTGAAATGAAAAATACAGGGAAATAGGTAATACTAATGTATTTGTTCTTTTATGATCTGTAGGATCTACAAAAGAAAAGAGAAGAACGCAAAAACGAGGTGAAAAAGGTAGCAGAAGAGGAAATATCGTTTCTTCAAGCTAATGGCAAAATCAAAAAGACCCCGTCAGGAGGCAACCTAGGAGCTAGGAAGAAAACGCCTTCGGGAAGGAAAGAGAAGCCTTCTAATGGTGTTGGAAGGGTTCCCGGTCAGGGGACTGGTGGAGATGAGAGCAGCCAGGGTACTCCTGTGCTGGTTGACCAAGAGCAAGACTCTCCTCGGGTAAGTTTTGTTTGTGTCTGTTGAAGTGAAGTGCAAGTATATGAGAACTGATATATAGCACTGAGAAAACAGGAGGGAGGGAGGGGAGGGTCGAGGGGGAAGGAGATCAAAAGTATGATACAGTTATTGAGTGAAAACGATGGAAACAATTTGAGTAATTGAATTAACTTTGATAAAAGAGTTGGGATAAACAGTCTTCTTCAGAGGACAGCTTTTCTTCCTGTTAGTGTTGAATTTGTCCAATTTCAAAGTTCGTATTTTATCACTTTTCGTCTGCTTGTTACAACACATACCTCTCTGTTCCCTCCATCAGACGCCAGTGCCATCAGCCGAGGAAGGAGGAAGAGAGAGAGAGACGAGTGTTGTGGGCACAGAGACGAACCACACAGCAACCACCCTTGAGGACCTTTACAGCACGCTGAAGAAGCTGGAAGAAGAGGAGAACTTCCTGACTGCTCGTTCCGAGAGGAAAAAACACTCATGGTGTAAGTTCAGGAAGAGTGTGTCTTTTACTTTGTTTTTAACTACAGTCATTGTTTTCAGTCTTGGGGCTCAAATATGGGTGAGTTAAATATAAATGGGTTTGTGGAACATTTTAAATACTTGCAATAATTTTAGACAATGAAGGGCTAGGCTGGGAGAGGATGGGGGTCAGAGGTTCTTTAGATATTAGGAAAATGTTGCCTTGCAGTTTGAATCCTGCTTTTTAAATTGAGAACGTGTTGTATCATTCTCACTCAGAAGCCCAGGCTTCTTTCTTCTGTACTCGCTGTACTTTTATTGACTGGTGTGTGTTGAATTTGTTATTATCAGTGGATGAACTGGAGAAAGGCGCTGAAGCAGGCTTGGGCTCCAATTTGACAGCTGAAAATTTGGAAAAACTCAACTCCAGCAAAGATGGACTGGCCAAGAGTGGATCCCTAACGCAGGACAAGCTTCAGAGCATTATTAGCTTCTTGGATGAGGTCCAAGTCTCAGATCGCCTCAGCGAAATTGACACGGTCAGTAATCATCTCAGATTGTAAGTGTGTTTTGTGTCAGTTGATGCCTTATGTCATCATTGTTCGGTGGCTGTTTTCTTCTTTTGTTTCTTTTCTGAGTCATGTGGTAACATCTTGTGGAAGATGTGGCTTGTACTGTTTTTTTCCCCTTCAGCCATCCATGGTTGCTGTGGGTTTTTTTTATCTACCCTACTTAGCCTGAATCAAACAATGTCAATATTCTCTTTTATTCTTGTGACTTACTAATATTGTAAATATTCCATAAGGCGTAGATGATATATGGAAGAAATATTCACTGTGTGTTTATTTGAATTCTGGCAGTAAAGTATAAATTCCATTACCCCTTCCTGACAAATTCTCTGAAGTCCGGGATGATTCGGAGTCCCACATTCTTGTCAATAGGGGACTTTTTAATTATAATGGCTTACTCCACCTCTCATATTATGTGGATACAAAGACTTTTTCTACTTAATCAAATAAAGAGGCTTTTCAGAGATGGTTGGAATGGAACTTTGTCATTTAAGAACCATGTTTTTCTCATACCACTGACTAGGACAGCACCCAGTATTGCTATAGAATACAACATTTTAAATCTTTGAAGACGAAGATTCTGGTAATTCGATAACGCTTGAAAATGATCAGTTTATCAGTATAACTTCTTAATTCATGCAGATTTTTCAGTTCTTTTCTCTATCTGAAATTTAAAAATGGCAAGCAACAACGTACAAACTATGAAATATGCAAATTTGAGTTTCTGAATTGTGCAGTGTAGTTGGAAATGTTCTACAACATAGTCTTTGGTTTAGTCTCGGACATATGTATCCGCTACGTCCTCAGAGAGTTAAAACCCCCTCTTTTTATAACTTGGCTTTGGGTTAAGGTCTTAAAGTTTGAGGGAGCTGGTTTGACACCAGTGGCAACAAACTCTGTTTGTTTCATTAGGAGATCAGTCGCATGAATGAAGAACTGGAGAAACCTGCCCTCCTGCTGCCGTCAGCGGAGGAAGTGGCCCAGCTGGAGCAAGCCCAGGCAGCAGCGAGTGAAGTGACCAACACCGTCCTGTCGCAGCGGCTGGAGCTGGATGAAAAGAAGCGCACTGTGGGCATGTTGCAGAAGGCACTGGTCAGTATGTTTGATGCAACTGGTAGACTTGCAATTGGAAAATTTGTGACCAGATTTGTATTTTTTGGTCTTACAATAAATGATTTGATGCACCTTAAACTTAACCTTTTCAGTGATCAAGAGTTTGATCCTTTTGAGTTGATGATATATGTTCCTCTGCCAAGTAGTGAATTATGTTTCAGATGCTCAGAATCTTTATAATTTGAATCAGTACCACACCAAGACTTACTTGTGTTTGTTCTGGTGAGGGATGCTTTTTTTTTGTGCTGTGGAAATTTCGTAGAGAACAATTTTCATGCAGAATTTCTGAGGCCAATACCGTACTTGCAACATATATCTTTGATCTGATTTTTTGTGTGTGTAATGTTTCTAAATGTAACTTTGCCCTCTTACAGAGATAATCGAAGGTACAATGCAGCTTTGCCTTTTAAACTGTCACTGATTTATGGCCAAAGGGACAGAAGAGTAGCTAGAAAGTAATTCTTGGGTGAAGTTTGTGTGGAAGAGCTGATTTTGAATCATTTTGATGTGTAGATTATGCTTTGAATGTTGTATGAAAGTACCTAAAAGAGCAAATGGTTCATATTGATCTCCATATATAACTCCCAAATAATTAAATCAGAGATAGTTTATCGCCTGGTCCGCTGTGTCTATGTGTTTAGTTGAGTGGGTCTAGTTTTGACAAGGGTAAAGTGTGCGAAGACTACAGAGACAGTGAGAGTGATAAAAAAAAACAACCCATCAGGATATGACTTGGGGTGGAAATGTTAGTGCTAGGCTTTGTGTAGCTCTTTCTGAAGTACTGGTATGTTTGGTTTTGATGAAAATGCCTTTATGAAAACTTATGTCTTTTAATTTTAAATACAGAATCAACAAAGAGAGCTGACAGTGAGGCATGCAAGAGAGACAGAAAAAGAAATGAAGAAACGCTTGGACTTGCAAAAAGATGAATATGAGGAGGCAATCAAACGACATTTGTCTTTCATAGATCAGGTAATACGGATAAATGGCTTTTCTTATTGTTATGAAAACTTAAATCAAAAAGCATTTAGTTTGAACATTATTTGGCTTCGATTGTTTGAAGAAAATTCATACTTATTTAGGGATACTTTCTTCCCCCCGTTAATGTATAGATCATAATGCTGATGACAAACTAACCTTGTGTTCCATGATAACTGACCCAGCAGCAAAATTTTTCATTTTGAAAGAGTAAATGTTTTCAGGCTTTTGATATGCTGCTGTATTTTGTTTTTTGTTAATGTGAAATGTTTGTATCTTGTGTGAATTAAGTATTGCGCTTAGTGATTATGTTATTGATGTATAGTGGTCAAGAGTTTATACTAAGATGGGCTGGAGCGCTATATAAATGTAATCTATTATTATTATAATGTAGGATTGTCATTCAGTCATGTAGTGGTTACGGGGGCTCTCGTGGCCTAAAGGTTAAGGTGTTGGCCTCTCATTCAAAGGTCCTGGGTTCGAATCCGGGTAGCGACTGAAAAATTTTCTTCTCTAAAATTGTCTCCTTTCACCTCCTTTCCTGCTCTCTAGCAATGTTCTGTTGTCTGCTTTCATTTCCACTTTCTGCCCCCACCCCCTCACCTCCTTTGCCCCCTCCTCTGGGCTCCTGACTCTTTCTGCAGCCTCTCTACTGCTACTTCTTGGCTCCTCCTTACTGCTGTCTTTCTGCCACACCCTGATCTTCTGGTAGGAAAGATCTACACCTAGCCTTCTCGGACAAGGGCGAAAAATCTTGGAGGGCCCGTGTGCAAGTTGCGCACGTTAAAGATCCCTTGGTGGTCTAAAATCGATAAGAGTAGGCTTCGGCCGCCACCTGGGCAAAATTCCAAATTTCCTACCAACTGAAAATATTAGGTGTGTCCCGCGCACTCATATGACCTTATGCAGTTGCGAGCGCCATAAAACACTTTACAAAAACTAACAAAAATAGTGGTTACACTAATGTCCTGTTTGTTTCCCTGAGTTGTGGGAAGGGTCTTACAGTTGTTGACTCTTTCTACAGTCTTTGGAATTTTAAAAATTAAATGCTGCATTTGAAAAGTCTAAGGAAATTATTTTTGATGGCAACAACGTTTTGCCGTCAGCTAAGCAGCCTTGTAAGATCTTTACACATACTGGCTTCTTTCTCAGAAAATCTTCTTTTTTACATCCAATACTTTTCATTGTCTTCTGCCTGTGATTTTTTAAGGTGAAGGGGAGTGATTGTTGAGTGACTTTTATTCATCTTCCTTTGTGTTTTATTTTTCATTTCCCCACCCCCAAAAGGGCTCTGCACACCTACTAAAATGCTACCCCTCCATTGGTAGAAAAAGATACATGAGTATATTTGTATGTGTGTGGTATTTACTGTGATGTAATATTCCTCCTTCCGTCTTCCTTCTATAATTCAACTCCTTGGCCAAATAATTTTCGGCAAAATGATGTTAAATTCATAGAAAAACAAACTTGACTCAGCATAATGTGTGTCTGTATAGTTGATTGATGACAAGAAGAACCTTGGAGAGAAATGCGAGAAGCTAGTGACGGAACTGAAGACAGTCGACAAAAAATACCAAGAGAAAATGAAGACCATTGAGGACAAGTAAGTGCATTTTCTCTCACTCATTACAAAACACAAGTCAATACTTTTTCAGAAATGTTTTTTTTTTAAAGTGCATATTCTTACAGACTCAGGAATGTTCAGTATATCACAATCACATTCTTTGTGGCATCAGTGGTCTAGTGGTTAGGTTCTTGGACACTCTACTGTAAGGTTGTGTATTCGAATCCTGTTAGGAGCCTGACATTTTGTCTTTGTAGCAGAATTTTCCTTACTTTGCTCAGGTGAGAATAGGTATCCGATTATAGACAGCGAAAGATATTGTCAGTTTGTTAGTGTTTTAGTGCCTTACTGCTTCTTATCCACTGCGGGCACTGCATGCTTCTCTGGAAGTATAGAATGTTTCTGAAAGTGCAAGGGTTTTCTGAGGGTAATAATAGTTGCAACGGCACAGAATATGCTGTAGCGCATATATATGTGTTATATAATTTTAATTATTATTAAAGTGAATTTTTTAAGAAGGTGGGACTTTATGTGTAATGGTTTTACCCATCACTTCGAATGAGATTCAAGGAATTGCCTCAGTTCTAGGAGGGCATATATTTTTAATCAAGCTGGCAGTTTTTAAAAACTTTTAACGACAACTTCTTTGGGCGGTTCCCTCCATTCCACGCTGCTTGGTAGCCAATGTATTTCCCATTTACTCCTGGTTACTCAAAATTGAGGATTTTTACTTTAAGTATGAATGGAAGTCCATGTATTTTAAAGGGCAGCAAGAATATTGTTTACTTCACTTGATGTGGTATTGAGTTATGTCTTATGTTATGTATGCTATTGATGTTTGTGTTTTTTAATCTAATCACATCTCCTTCTGATACAGATTACATGTTATTTCTACCTTACAGCCACACTGTGGAAATAACCAAACTGAAAGAAGTACACTCTGCGGCTGAAAAACTGCGCAGAGAGAAGTGGATTGAGGATAAAACAAAAAAAATAAAGGTAATTACTGAAAGTTCTGATGGCTGGAAATTTCTTCTGAGAGTTTGGTTTTCTGTGAAATCTTGCTTAACCCTCTTAGCGCTAAGCCATTTTTACCATTACTTCCCTTCAGTGCTAGGTTTATTTTAGAAAAATGCTAATTTTCAACATGGCTATAAAAAAAGCTCATATCTTTCTTATTTATCATAATTTCTAATTACAGTAAGAAGGAAAAATGTGTCTTAAACAATGAACTACCCTTATGTCTGGTCAGATGTGTTTTTTAATGATGTTGTTGTTGTTGGTTTCAAAATCCTCATCATTTTTAGTCCAGCCTGCTTGGAGATCAGCAGGAATATCGACGTCCCCTTCTGGGCTTAAACTCACAAGATCTAGATCTAGATCTAGGACACGATATCCCCATCATTCACACGTAGATCTAAATCTTTTATTTGAGGACCTAATCCTTCTAACTCTTTATCACTGTGGTCCGATTCCAGAAAATGCTGGGTAAATCTGAGTCTAAATCAGCTGACGATTCCGACATTTTGAAAACTGTAATCAATATTCCAGAAAATTGCCGATAAAAAACTCCCAACCGATCCCCGACTGCGAAATACGCGGGCACGGCACTAATGAACGTTGCACTGGTGGACTGGAGTCACCAGCAGTTTAAAAAATGGCTATTATCATATCAGCGGTATAGTTTCTACACTCATGTCGGATCACGACCGGTGGCCGCGATGTGCGCGGAAGGGAGGTATGAGACCAGTAGTCATGATGCGCACGCAGAGGGTTAAGACTGTGATGGCTCTTTTTTTCTCTGTGTTCAAAGCAGTAGTATTTAGTGTTAGTATAATTGTGAAAAAACTCGTACATGTTTAACATCTGCCCAAAAGTCGTAAGGGAAACCTTTTGTCTTTAGTTTTAAAAAGGGTAAAGTGCAATGGAATAGTTTCCTTCTAACCTCCTTTCTCTTTGCTTTTCAACCTAGGTGTTCTTTGAATCTGCTGTAAGTATCTTCATGATGCCATTGTTCTGTTCTTAAATGTGTAGGAGATGACGGTGAAAGGGCTTGAGCCGGAGATTCAGCGCTTGATAGGGAAGCACAAAGCTGATGTGAAGAAGATGAGACAGATTCATGAAGCTGAGCTCCTGGAGGCGGATGAGCGAGCTGCCCAGAAATATGTCAAGATGACGGAAGAGCTGCGTGATCAACTGGCGCAGGAGAAAGAGGCTGCGTGCGCTCGAGAAAGAGAATCTGCCAAGCAAAGGTTTGATATTTTGAATGATTGTAGCTTCACTATTTTTGTTGGGAGGTACCTATTTCTTTGGTTGCTGATAATGGCACAGTTACAGCTTTGCTTAAGGTCTGAGCACCCTGATGTAAAATGGTTTCTTTTCTGCCTAAAGTAAAAAATGAATTGTTATTAACAGTATTTGTTGGATAAATATTACAGTTACACAAAACGGTGTATTAGAATAACAAAGAGTATGTTGCACTATGGGAGTAAATAAAGATAAAGTCTATTAAAAATATGCAACCTTGGAACTGGTATTTTTTCTCAAATGTGCACATATTGAAATCCAAATGGTGATGCGGTTTCATGGCTTGATTTCTCTTTGTGTGCAGGTATGAAAAGCAGCTCCAGCAAGAAGAAGAGGCTTACCAACAGCAGCGCAGACGACTTTATCAGGAAGTACAGGAGGAGAAGGATAGAGTGGCTACCACGTCGTCACGGCAACGTGGTGAGCTGGAAAAGCTGCAGCGACAGTTAGAGGACAACCATCGGCATGCTCTCGAGTCTATGAGGGAAGAGCTGGACAAAGCCCGAGAGGAGCAAGAGCGCAGGCATAAGGTGATTATTGACGTTGTCTGTATTGTTGTCAGCATTATCGTTATTGTTTTTGTCATCATCTTCATTTTGATTTTGATTTGTTTTTGAAATATAGACTGAAGTATGAGTTTTGAATAATTTGAAAAGAAGCCGTTCCCCAAAGAATGATAGAATAAGGAGCCCATTCATCGTCTTTATCATTTTCTTTGTTATTGTCCATCAAAATTGTCCTTATCATTGTCTTTATGTCGTTCTGTCAGTGACTACGCGATTGCTGCTTTCTTAGCTTTTCTGGAAATCTGATATATTTGAGACATTTTACAATTTTTATCGTGTACAAGTGTTTTCTTTCATTTGTATTTTCCATTTTACTTACTGTAAAGGCAGTAAGTTTCTAAAAAGTACCGATCAAGGTGATACTGCTACGAATTGTCTTATCAGCTGCTTTTTTCAGTCACCATGCTTTTGGACCAGTGTTCGGTCGAAAAAAAAAAGACAAGAATGTTTCCATGCTTATTTTCTTTGGATAAAAGTTCAACGATGCTGAAGCTAAGTCTTTTCCCCCTTTGGGATAGGATAAACTTTATTTTCCTGTCACAGGGACGCTTTTAAAAAGCATAGAAACTGCTCAGACATAGAACTTTTGCGTTATTTATGTCGAATAGAATATTGATAAACTAACAACAGAATTCTTATAGATTAATATGAGTATTCTGTTCTAAGGTATATCACTCTACAGTAAGTAATGTTTTAAAATGAAATAATGTATACTATATCGTGAAGTGTTTTGTGCTCATGCACGTATCATACACAGATTCAGATAGTTTTTGTACAGTATGTGTACACTGCCTCATAGTAATAGTTTGATTAACTCATTCGCTACGTATTATTTTCGGCTTGTGGACGAATTTTTTTTCGGGAGGGCGAATGAGATGATGACTAGTGGGCTGTTAAAAGGTCTTTGGGGCCACAAATTCAAATAAATATCAACGTATTATATACAAATATTTTCAGTATGGTTTGTAGAATACATCTGTAATGTTTATTTATGTATTTTTCAACTTTGGTTCCTGTAAGAGACGATTATGCAACACAATTTTGATTGGATGCGGATAAAATTTGAAAATAAAAAATTAATAATCTTTGGTGAAACTAAAAAAATATGTTTGCACCTAGTCAAATAATACTTCAAAATAACCATAAATGAATATAGAACTGGAAAATATTGAAAAGTTTGCAGTTATTTACCTACATTCCCTAATATTTGTACATTTTGAACATAACATCCGATATGGAAAAAAAACAAATTTATAATCTTGAAAAACGATCACAAACAGAAAAAACCCCACTCGTATCTTATATGGAATTATTCAGAATTGCATTTGGAATAAACCTATACATGTCTTGAGTGGTACTTTTTGTGTAAGTTCATCAAAAAGTAGTGATTTTGGGGAGAAAAAAATATTTTTGACAATTTAGATCTAGATCTAGACCTAGATCGAGCACTCAAAAATATTGATTTCTCAATAACAGTACATTGGCAATATGAGTCCAAAGGTATCAATATCATAAAAAAGTGTCCTACATTTCTTTAGTGGGCAAAATAATGATAGATTTTGTTGTGTAAGATTAGTAAGACTGGTGTCTGGGCTATAATTTTGGCATCGCGATAAAACAAAGTCGAATAAACTACGAAATCGCGTTTCAAAACTGAATCTAAATTTCTGATTTTCAGTGGAAATGCTTGACCCGGAAGTCAACATTATATTATGACCTTTATTTTAACATGGATATGTGGATTGGAATAGAATCTAAGCTAAAATTGAAGATCGGTTCTCGAGCCACCGGGGGCGGCTTAGCGTACTGACGGCACTTTAGCCGCGCCGCCCCCCACGGCTTGACGTAGCGAATGAGTTAATACTTGAACTGACAGTTACTTTGTGGTGTTGTTTTATCAGACGGAGATCAAAGACCTGCAGGAAAAGCTGAAGTTGGAGAAGGAGTCTTGGGAGGAGAACTACATGAAGCGACATGAGACCTGGCTGGTGCAGAAGGAACGTGAACTCAAGGACAAGGTCTGTGATGGATTTTGCATTGTTTCTTTATCGACTACTAAGGGTAAGACTCCCGCCACACACCATTTTGGGGGCTCTCGTGGCCTACAGATTAAGGTGTTGTCCTCTCATTCAAAGGTCCCGGGTTCGAATCCGGGAAGCGACCGAAACATTTTCTTCTCTAAAATTGTCTCCTTTCACCTCCTTTCCTGCTCTCTAGCAATATTCTGTAGTCTGCTTTCGTCTCCTCTTTCTGTCCCCACCCCCTCACCCCCTTTGCCCCCTTCTCTAGGCTCCTGACTCTTTCTGCTGCCTTTCTTATGCTACTCCTTGACTCCTTCTTACAGCTGTCTTTCTGCCACACCCCTGATCTTCTGGTAGGAAAGATCTACACCTAGCCTTCTCGGACAAGGGCGAAAAATCTCGGAGGGCCCGTGTGCAAGTTGCGCTCGTTAAAGATCCCTTGGTGGTCTAAAATCAATAAGAATAGGCTTCGGCCGCCACCCGGGCAAAATTAAAAATTTCCTACCAACTAAAAGTATGAGGTGTGTCCCGCGCGTTCATATGACCTTATGCAGTTGCGAGCGCCGTAAAAACACTTACCAAAAAAAAAACCCCACACCATTTTGAAATGTGACATATGATGGAGCTTTTCACTGAGGGGTCAATATGTGTGGCTTTTTCATCAAAAGGAGTTTTTATGACCCCTTTGTTCCAGCTCTGTCTTATTGTACATGGGGCATTTAACATGACTAAAACAAATTCTGTGGGAAATGCCTGTTTGTCTCACACTTTTGTTATAACTTGACAACTTTCATTTGTCATTATATCAGTTAGTCTACACTTCACAGCATTTTGCTTCAGAGGTAATTATTATACTCATTTTAGTGTGTGTCAGGGTTTTGTAAATGCTTGTTTACCAAACTGTTTTCTAGTTGAGGCCAAATTGATTGATGGTTTTGATTTAACCTAGATAATATTTCGAATGTCCACACTGCCTTTGAAAATGGATGTTCAACTTCTTCATTGTTAAGTAAATGAGACCATACATAAACATACTGAAACATTTGAAGACTTCACTCTTTGTACTACTGATTAGAAGTTCAACACCACAGAGGCTTTGTGTGCTTTTGTATGATGCTCTGGTTTAGGGTTTAAAAAGCGTTACATTCTAAGCAATATTTTATTTGCAACATTTTGTGGAATTTCAGATCAAAAAGGATCGTGACAAGGAGATTGAGTTAGTGATAGAAAGATTGGAAGAGGATGCTTCCAGTATGCGGGAAGAGACAGAGAGAACCACAGAACAGAAAGTCAGGTACAGTTCTGGCTGGTCAAGTACAGCAGTGTGTTATTTATTTTTAAATTTTTTTTGAAAAAAAAAATTTTTTTTTTTTTGGGGGGGTTCCTCACTGTTGTTTATTTGTTTGTTTTTTAGGGGGGGGGGGGCTGTTCTTTTGTGAGGCAACATGGTGAAATCAGGCACTCATCAAAAAATGAAATCGAAGATATTGGCATTTTTCCTCCCGTTTGACAATTTTTTCCTCATCTTTTTTTTGTTTTGCTCAACACTTTTTATCTCCATTTAATACATATTTCGTGGGTGGTTGACGGGTGCTCTGGTGTGGTTTGCTTCTTCTTTCCTATCCAACATCTATCTTCCTTATCTCCCCTTCTTCTTTTTTATACTTGTTACTCTCTTGTATCACCTCTAATCTTCTGGCACTCATATGACCTTATGCAGTTGCGAGCGCCGTAAAACCTCTTCTAAAACTAAAAAAACTAATACATATTTCTGTGTGGATTTTACTCGAAAACATTGATTAAAGGCACAACAAATGTATAAATTGTCAGTTTTCAAGGACTCTCAAGCTTTGAAAATTACCAAACTCTGACGCCCATTTTCTCGCTAATTTTGCCTCTGATACCAGGTAACCCCTACCTCCTTCAATCGCCAATATATTGACTTGTATCCAAGATAAATGAATATTTTAAAAGATCAAAAGCAAGGCAAATGAACTGGCTTTAAGATGATACCAATAACTCGATGTGCCCCAAAATTGACGAACGCCTGATTCCATCGCTTCTTGACACATTTGTTTTTTTGTTTTTTCCTTCTCGAAGTGGAGCTTTTCTAACCTGTTATTCCTTATATTTTTACTGTTTTGTATTCTGCTGCTCGTATGTTGTGTTTGAGAGTCTTTTGGGATTCAGGTCTATTTTGTCAAAATTTTGTCAGTTTTAAATGATAGCTGTAGTTATGGGTGAGGACAGACTTGTTGTATAAGACATAGCTAAGTAATTGTAATTTTTACTCATGAACTGTTTCGCAGTGTATTTGCTGTGTGACTGTGTGTATGTCTGTGTGTTTGTTGTTTATTTTGGCATGATTCTTGTATTTGTTTGTATGGGTATCTTACTATCTCCCTCCTTGACAGAAACTGGTTTTTTCTTGAGTTGATACTGGAGGCAGCAGTAAAGTTGTTTGCTTCTGCTTCTTTTCATTGTCGCCGCGATTGAACAAGAACGTCAGCTGAATTAAACATTTTATGATTTTTACGAGGACAATTTGTTGATAAGATTTCTAAAATGACGTTTTTTATTTTCATATTTTTCTTTTTTACTTAGGCGCTTGAGGGAGAAGTATGAAAAGGAAACATCTGAGCTGGAACAGTCTGAGAGGAAAGCTGTGCAGAGGCTCAATGAAATAAAGGTATGGTGGAATGCAGTGTCTGATGTAGATAAGACACGGTTTTTCTGCTGTATTGATTTATTAATATCTCTTGCTTTTTACCATCCTGAAATCTCCATTAGTGGGTGATTGGCAGGTGCTCTGGTGTGGTTTGCTTCTTCTTTCCTATCAAATATATATCGTCTTTATCTCCCCTCCATCTTTTTTGTGTTTGTTACTCTCTTGTAATACCTCTAATCTTCGGCACTTATGTGACCTTATTGTGTTGCAAGTGCGGTAAAACACTTACTTAAACTAAAAAGACTAAAAAGTCTCCATTATCTGACATTTTGTTTTTTTTAGTTTAGAGTTAATGTGAAACTAGAATTTTCTGAACTGCTCAGTCAAACGTAACTTCAGTAATGAACAAAAAAATCCAATACAGGTTGTTTGAGTTAAAAGGCGATTCAAGCAATAAAATGTTTTGAACTGTTTATACAGAAAATCTATGGTGTGCTAATCTCTGTATACTTGAGACAGACTACTGGTACCCTACACTGTGGGAGGTGGCGGGTGCTGTGGTGTGGTTTGCTTCGTCTTTCCTATCGAACATCTATCGGCTTTATCTCCCCTCCTTCTTTTTTATGTTTGTTACTCTCTTGTAACACCTCTAATCTTTGGCACTTATATTAAGTTATATGATCTTATTGTGTTGCAAGTGCCGTAAAACACTTACTAAAACTAAACTAAATACCCTTCACAATAGTTGTAAAACTGTGAGAGCAGGGAATGAGTACACAATAACAGTATTTACCTGCCAATCTTCCTTTTTCTGTCTACAGGAACAGATACGTGTGCTGGTAATGTGTTCAGAAATGTTCAAGCTGTTGTTGTTATCCATCCAGAAATGTTCAAACGTTAGATAATTTGTCTTTTTGAGCTGAAAGATAAGTTTTTTTTGTTCAAAAGAAGTAATTGTTTTTGTTTCTGACAGGCTAAAATGACAGAAGTAGAAGGTGAGAATGAAAGACTGAAAGTTATCGTTCGACAAAAAGACCAAGAAATACTGGATAACAAAAAGGTAATAACTGCTGACTGTGTCATTTCCACTAGGATAATGAGAGGAACTTGTTTGGTTTGAAACTTCAAGAGAATTCATCTTTCTTAGTGGCTCAGACTAGCTTAGTCACTTAGATGATGGAGGCATATTTGAATTTGAAGTTAATCTGTCTGCCGACAGTGAATTGATGTATTTCTCTTTTCTTAATTTTTCAATGATATCAGGCTTTTTAGAGCTAAATTTTGTAAATACTTTACTTGAATGCCCTGTCGTAGAAGAAATATAGTGTGAAAATTAATTATCACTTCATCTGTTTCAGTTTAATTTTTTCATTTTCGATTGACCTCCTTCAAGTGTTCTATGAAATTTGGCTCCCACAAAATATTGTATTATATTTTTCCTTCAACGGTATTGTAATAGTGTTCCATTTATACTCCACAGCTATTAGAAAAGATGAATTCTGAACGCAGCCATGTGTCAGACATAATCCGGCAGGAGTTTGCGGACAGAATCGTAGCAACAGATGAAGAGAACAAACGCATCAAACATGAGATCTCCGAGGTTCGGGCCCGGCATCGTCTGGAGCTGGAACGAGCACAAGGAGACATGGAGGAGTTGAGGAAAACCAAAGATGAGGAGATGGAGGAAGTGCACAAAAGGTATGTAGAATGTCTTTTGGTAGGACAAGATTTTTTTGGTTTTATTGAAATTTAAATATTTAAGGGGATGTTTTCTTCCCAAGCTACCCCACACATCTAATTGCCTCTACTCCTCAAGAAAACAATTAAAACAAACATGCAACTATTACCGAATGGCATCATGCAGAAGAGTTAATGCTCAGATGTTACTGGATCGCTAACAACAACATTGAAATTTACAAAAAAAACAAAAACAAAAAAATTGTGTTTGTGTATGAGTGTGTTCTTTCCCATTTGAAATATCAGTTTAAAAAAATGATGTTCCAAGGCAAAAGATCGGGTAAGGTGCGTGTAATTGGTGAGTGTTCATACTTTAGTCAAGGACTGCTTCTCTAAAGTGTTAATATTTTGTTTAAATTCCCCTGGTAAAATATGACTGCTATACTGCTCACTGGCCAAAAATCAGGACTCGAAACTTCATGTTCTCATGTGGACTTTTGTTTGTACTTTTGGGAAAGAAAATTTCATGCTATAAAATCTGATGAGGCTCACAGACTCATTGTCTTTTAGTTGTTTTTGTCAATGGAATGCTTGTACTTTATAAAGAAATTTTTATGTGCATGTTCAGCAAACTATTGGTAGATGTTTGGAAAGCTACCTTGGTAGGTTTTTTAAAAAAAACCTTTTCTGTGCACTTTTCTCAGCTATGTTACTTTTTTAATTTGCTCTTTATGCATGCATACAGTTTCAGTCTGCTGAGAAAAGTAACATTTTTAAAAAGACTTTGAGTGAAAGATGTTCTACTGCTCTTTATGGAACTCGAGATTCCTCATAGTAAAGTTTTTGAAACATTTCCTCTCTCAGGGTGAAGCAGGCAATCGTGAAGAAGGAGGAGGTGGTGTCACAGCTCCGCCAGCAGTACCAGGCTGCCACAAAGCGTGCCGACCATTTGGAAGGACTTTTGGAGCAGCAGAGGAAACAGCTGCTAGGGAAGAAGTAGTCTTATGAAATTTGTGTGACTGTTAGTTTGGAGAATGTATCCTTCTTTCTAAGACTGTGTTGTTCAAGATTGGTTACACAGCTTTTTTATAGACAAAATATTATCTGCACTAGGGTTTCTGAATGTAGAATACAAATGTCCTTACTTGAAATATGCATCAAAACTAGAGCACCGCACAGATTTTTCAAGAACAGAAATTGTAGTTTAATCAGTTGTTGAATTGTGTCTGCAGACACCATTTTAATTAAATATTTAAGTTTATTACTCTACTCTGTCTTTTGGAGGGCACAGTAAACATCCATTAACATGTGCTCACTTCCCCTTTGTCAAAAGAACAAATTTCATTACATTGGGTCCAGTCCTTTGCCTCGTTGATTTTGGCCTTGTGTCCTCTTAGTCAAGCGGTTGAAAACATTGGTAGCAGCTTGTCATCAATTGCTTCACTGACCTCCACACGTGAAGCTTAAAGTGAGAATGACCATTTTGTTGATCTTTGTTGAAAATTTAACATAATAACATTGTATGATATGTAGATTTAATGATGTCAGAATAATCTTGATCTGTTTCTGTGTTCGTGTGAAACTGTGCTGGTTGGAACCGAGTCTTTATGGTTTCTGTCAGTATGTAGCTCACATCCATTTTAGACATTCACATGAGTTTTGTTTATGGAGTTGGTTGTTAATTACGTTACCATATGTTGATGTCATCCTGCAATGATTTGGAGAGTTCTTTTAAACAATAAATTATTTCAGTCAGAATGGGTTGCAACTCCCTCTCCTGGTCATTTATCCCTCATGCCTGCACACTCTTGAAAGTGATGGAAGCACCATGGCTGTGGCATGGTGCAGGTTTGTCACCTTGTTCAACACAAAAAAAGACAGCAAGTTGAATTTTGGTGTGCTTTTTGTGCAAAACAGTTTTCGATTAAGATGTTCTCAAAGACTAAAGTGAACGCACAGCATACTTCGTGGAGTAGAATGTGAAAAGGACGAGGCTATAAATGTAGTGTTAACAAACATATGGGACCAAATTACATTCAGGAATAGATCATGTATTTTCCCTTCCTGTTTCCTCTTCCACCAACTTGTTTCTGCTGTAAGGAACTTTTTTCCTTTAATGTTTCATAGAGTAAACAAAGATAAAATAGAGTCCTGTGAATGGTGACAGACCAGTAACCAGACCTTTGGTGCTGAAAACAGTGACTTTTATTTCTGAGATGCAACCAAGCACTGGCTTTTCCTTCTCTTGTTTGATTTTCTGTATAATGATGGAAGCTGCCTTGTTTATGGAGTTGACCCCTGAGGTTATGAGTATATCTGCATCTGTTGATCTCTCAAACTATATTTCTTTGTGTAAATTATCTTGTTGGTTTCGCTCTAATGTCTGAATGTTTGTGGATTGTGTGGATTGTGGATGTTGAGTATTCTGCTTGCTGATTTCTGTATTATAAATCAAGCATTCACCTTTCTTGTGGAAGTGCAAGTTTTATATGACATCTCGATCCATGATTAGGACCCAAGTGCTGTACCTCAGAAATAAATTTTTACGATGTCGTCTTGGGCTTTGGACTCAAAAGGAAAATGGGGAATCAAATACAAAACTGTTTTTACCCTATAACAATAATTATGATACTAATTTCTTTTCTTTAATTGTGGGGTTAGAAACCAGGGACAAGTCAGTGCCAATCCAAACGAGGACTTGTGTGTTGCTAAGATCTGTTACTGAATGCTGCAATTTTGTTTGGTTTTTGGTTACTAAATTACTTGTATATGAATATGTGTGTGTGCCTGGTGAAAGGGACCACATGTCGCATTTTCTCAAACCGAGATATCAGGCTTCAAAGGTCAAAAATATAATTTTTGACAAAAACTAAGTTCCATTAAAAATGGATTCTTCAGCCATTTATTTATTGATATTTACAAGGATTTGGGTTATTTTGACTTTAAAATACATTTTAAAAGGTGTTTTTTAACCCGAGGTATATTGCATAATCCCAAAAAATGCGTGAGGAAACTGGCTTTCAGGGTAAACACTGCGGATGGTTTCTCTTGTCCATTCATAAAGTCGACCCAATCACATTGCATACTAAAATTTAGGTCATTCTCTCTGCTCTCCGATGGCAGGTAGTGCGCATGAATATCTAGAACATGTAAACAAAGCGAAACTTTGCGCATCCATACCCTTTTGTTTCTTTGGAGAACAAACTTGTATCGCCTATTTCTGCCCTGTGCAAACCGTATTTCTTGAAATTCCTGTTCAATGTGGTGGTGAATTTGTTTTGAAGACGTAATACAAACACTTTGAAGCTGTTCTTTTATTGTAGAGCTGCTTTTTAAAGTTAGTTTGTGAGAAGCGACTGTGTTGTCAGGTCGTCTCGAAGCACAACAACACGGCGGAGCTGCCAGCTGTTACTACTACCGGTACTGTTAGAAGTAGATCTAGTACTAGATCCAGATCTAGTACTGCTATTCGTGAGCAGGAAATTGTGTCTCTTTTCAATTCTCTTAGACGCATTGGAATGTCAGAATGGCAACTGAAGAAGACATTAGAGATGTAATATGCGATTATTTCATTTCTGACGTCGATTTGGGAGAAGAGGAAGAAGATAAGTTCGATCTGTGGTGCCATCGCCAGTTCCAGACCCCGCACTTGAAGCAGAACCGAGGGAAGCAAGTAAAGATTAACAACAACAAAAACAACAGTGATAATAGAAATAGATTTAGATTTAGCAAACTAATAATTATTTATTATAATGATAATTAATAGTAATAATTATCATTACGCTGTTCTTTCTTGATAAACCTAGATCTAGTTCTAGTTTAGATCTAGCTTACTCATAGTAGTGCATTTTTGTTTTCTTCATTCTAAATGTATGCAGAACAAAATTTCATTTATTCCTGGGAGAGTCTGGGTTCTAAGATCTGGATATGTGGCAATCTTGTTAAGTGGGTAAGGAACAAAAAGTTTTCCTTTGACCCTGATGATTGATAGTGTTAAGTTCCCTAGTTACTATGGTGAAGATACTTTTTTTGCCTGTGTGTGTTGCAGGAGATGAAGGGGGAGGGAGGGGCGGGGTATCAAGTGTTTAAACAAAACAATAATAATTATGAACACGATTTAACATTTTATTTCAGCAACAGCAAAACCTTTTCACTAGAATGGTGACTTGTTATGAAAAAAAGGTGTTCTGTTTTTGTTTTTTCTGCAGAAACAAAGGTGACACTTTAGAGCCGTTTTTCTCAAAACTTTGTTTCCGTACCCTGCCTTACAAAATCGCCCATATCTCAAAAACTACTGAAGATATCTTCAAAATTTAAAAAGCACATTGTTTAGAAATGAATTCTGTACAAGAAAATGCCCAAAAACGGGATTTTTCAAAATGCGACATGTGGTCCCTTTCACCAGGCACACACACATATGTTGTGCAAGGCTTTTGAATGGTATGTAAAGTTGGAGAGATGAATGAAAGCATTCATGTGCTGTGACTGTAAATGTTGAATTTCCTATCGGTTGTAGCTGACTGCTGACTCTTGAATTGTCTGTATTCCATTTGCTTCAGGCTGTGTTCTGACTTCTTAAATAAATTAATACAGTGGAGCCCACTTGTAACGAGTACTGAAATAACGAGAAGTCTGTTATAAAGACAGTATTCTAAAAACCCGTTTTTTTCCTTTCTTTATCTTTGTAAAAAAAATACTGCTATTGCACAATCAGACAGTCACGCGAGTCGGTTATAACGGAATATTGCTGCTGCTGTGCACAGCGCACAGACCAATTGTACATGTATACATGTATTATAAAACCTCGCCAGTTGAGAAAGTTGTTGGTGATCCAGCGAAACAAAGAATGGGAGAGCCCACACGAACCAACAATGAAGGTCAGAGTGAATGAGTGGAGAGGGTGTGGCATGGCAGACAAGCAGAACGCATCACGTGATAGGCCAGCCCAGTCTAGATTATCTAGGCCTACCGTTCCTCTCACTTCTCTGGTGCGGGATGGAGAGGTCACAGTGCTGTGATGGATGGAGTGAATGTGTGACATGGGCAAGCAGACGCAATGTACCACAGGGAGTGGTGGGGTGGGGGAAAACACAGTGGGCGAGTTAGCCTAGAGCCAGAGCCCCTTCTTTCGGATCGCCATCGCCGAGCTGTCAACATTGCTCGTGCTAGAGAAAGAAACCTGATTCGTTTTTTGATCAAGTATCATCTAGTAAGACCTCCTAGAGATCACGTTGAACAAAATCGTCTTCAGAGGAAATACAAAAAGGAATAAAAAGAACTCCAAACTCATAGATTAGGCCTACTTTACTATTTCCCTTGAATTTATTATTGGATCCCTTATAACGAGAATCCTGCTTTAACGGACATTTCACACCAGTCCCCTCCCTCTCGTTATAACAGGATTCCACTGTAGAAAAAAAATCTCTCTACATCACTGTAAATAATAAGCTTTTTATGTCCCTGTATGAATTTGAACCTGTTTTTGTTGTATCGTATAAACTAAATGAAAGTAAACATATTGGCAGAGGTTTCTTTTTGTCTCACTGCTTTGATTTTTATTTATGTCAGATTAAAACCAGATCAAATTTCTCTACTGTTCTGTGGATTTCCCTGTTGTTGGAAGGTTATAGTGACTAAAACTTTATTTGTCACGGGAATCGGATAGTTTATTGTCGGCCACGAGATGTTATGACCATTTGTCTACTATTTATGATGATGAAATCAGTTTGGCTTTATCCACAAATTGTTTTTTTTTTGTACAGTGAGCAGGTAATTATCGTACTGAGTTTGATCAAGTGCACATTTCTGTTGAATGCTTTGTTTAAGAAAAATTGTGCTACATCAATATTTTCTAATTTTGTATGAAATTTTCTATTTTGTCTGTGTGTTGTGTTTGCAATGGTTTTTTTATTTTGAAAGTCAAATTACTCTGCTCTTTTGTGAGGATGTTCAGTGAAGGGATGGGGTGATAATATTTTCTCAATTGTGGTAGACTAACTTTTATTACGCAACTGCATCCCTTTGTGATGTTTGGTCCTCTCAGAGTTTTGCTAATGATGTAAACCGCTTCAGTAGCCTGGCTTGGACTATGGCAGTCTGTCGTGCCAGGACTGGATTATGGATCTCAGGTGTGACGAGGGTGTTGGTTGTAATGTTATGTTCTTTGTGACGTCCGTACAAGCGTTTGGGCTTGTAGCTGGTCATTGTGACGTGGATTTTGGTGTCAAGCTTGGTTTTTGTTTTTATTTGTGTCAAGGCATGTAAGAATCGGGTGCCCATCAAAATAATGAAATCAAAGAAAATGACATTTTTCTGCACGTTGGTAAATTTATATATATTCATTTTTTAAATTTTGGGCTCAACATCCTTCAGGTCCATTTTAGAACACATTCCTGTTTGGATTTTACAGAAAAAGTTGATCAAAGGCACAAGATATGTAAATTTGCAGTTTCCAAGGACACCACGTCTTTAAAAGTCAACAAACTTTGGCCACCACTTTCTCACTGATTTTGCCTTTGACACCAGTTTAATCCCACCTCCTTCAGTTGCAAATATCTCAACTGTTATCATGTAAGATAGATAGGTACTTTTTCATCTAAAGAAAGAAAAATTAACTAGCTTTAAGGTGATACTGATAACTTCATATGCCCCAAAATTGACAAATGTCTGATTTAACTGCGTTGTGACACACATGGACCTAGCTAGGTAGTGTTGAATGGAGCTGTCATTTGCAGTAGGTTGAAGTTTTTCTCCATGTCTGGATTGTTAAGATTCCCTTTTCTTTTCTGTTTCCTCTCTGGTGAGTAGCGTAGTTGCCAGTAAAAAGGTTTTGTAGATCTTGTGAAATTATGGTTTGCTTGAAGTTATGACAGAATTGGCCACACTTTCAAATCAAAACAATACTGCCGTAAGCTGACAAAACCCCTTTTTTCATTTTTGGCGCCAAATTTTTTAATTTGCTAAATCGAAAGCGTGATCAGTTACCCTACTTGTGCGAAAAAATCAATGTGAAACTGTGACTAGTTTTTGAACTAATTAGAATCCAAATTTAGGAAGAACGCCTTTTTAAATGGTTGCACTGACAAAAGCCTCTTTCTCTCGAAACAACTGTGATATAAAAAAAAAAGGCGTTTTGTCAGCTTACGGCACAATAGTAACTCATATCAGGAAGTAGAAGGGGCCAACCATACCTAAGTACTCGCCTACAGTCCAGGATACTAGTGGAAGCTCAACAGCTTTTTCTTCCTGTTGAAGGACGCCAGTGCTAGAGAACTGTATTTTCTCTTTGAAAGATGTCATATTTCTGCTAATGCTTTTTGCAGTTTCTTCAGTGTGTTGTTTTCACAGGTCAATTTTAAGTCTCGGACCTTGTGAAGATTAGACATCCAGGAAAAAGACAGGTACTACTGTCAACTACTTCATTTTACAGTCTGTACTAACTAAACTTTTCGTGTTCTGTATGAAAGCCTTCCTGTGTCTTGTATAGAAAATCGTTTATATTATTGCTTGATTTAGTAACTCATTTAATCTAACCTATCTTTTTCTGTTCCTTCCATCAACTTGTTATTATCACCTCCCCCCCCTCTCCCCCCTTCCAGTGCTCACACTTGTGTTCACAATATTACATGTACTCCCCCCCC